GCTGGGATTACAGGCGTGAGCCACTGCGCCTGGCAATTTTTGTATTTTTAGTACAGATGGGGTTTTGCCACATTGGCCTGGCTGGTCTCGAATGTCTGACCTTGGCCTCAGCCTCCCAAAGTGCTGGGATTACAGGCGTGGGCCACTGTGCCCGGCCTGCACAGTGTATATATATGTATATATTTATATATATGTATGTATGTATGTGTGTATTTATTTTTTTTTTAGACAAAGTCTCGCTGTGTCAGCAGGCTGGAGTGCAGTGGTACAATCTGGGCTCATTGCAACCTCTGCCTCCCGGGTTCAAGCGATTGTCCTGCCTCAGCCTTCTGTGTAGCTGTGGCTGCAGGTGTGTGCTCCCATGCCCAGCTAATTTTTGTATTTTGAGTAGAGATGGGGTTTCACCATCTTGGCCAGGATGGTCTCGATCTCTTGACTTCGTGATCCACCCGCCTCGGCCTCCCAAAGTGCTGGGATTAAAGGTGTGAGCCACCTCACCTGATCTTAATAAAGAGACCGGGTCTGTCTTGCCCCGACTGGAGTGCAGTGGCACAGTCATGGCTCACTGCAGCCTCAAACACCTGAGCTCAAGGGATCCTCCCACTTCAACTTCCCCAGTAGCAGGGACTTGCGGTGCACACCACTGTACCTGATTCGGCACATATTTCTGGCAAGCTCTTGGTCCCTTTTGTGCCGAGGCTGAAGGGTACCTTGCTTAGCACCATGGCTCTGAACTGTTCTGCTTTTCTCTGTGTCCTGGCTCCAGTATTTATCTGTGTGATATTGGGCAGGTAGCCTCCTGGGACCTCGATTTTCTTACCTTTCAAGAACTGTCGTGGTTGTGATGACAGCTTGAGCATGCTAAGTTCTTAGAACCGTGCCTGTCCCTTTGTAAGTGCTCTGTAAATACTCTTGACTGGCAGGTGCTTTTTCAGCACCTGTTAAGGGAAGTCGCCCATTTGTAATAGGTGGCAGGTACTCCCCTCTGTGTTGTTTGTTACTGTTGAGATGGTTATTTTTGTTCTTAGTACGTTGGGTTTTGTGTATTGGGTTTCTTTTTCAGCCATACAACGTGGTGAAGATGTGAGTGCCTGGGAAGTGTGCGTCCTGGTTTATGCTGCTGGAAGGCAGCTGCAGCCCCTGGCCTCCTCACTGAGGGTGTGGTGTCAGCATCTGGACTTGCCTGGCCCCAAGAATCAGGGCATGGGGCTGTGGAGCCAGGCCTGAATCCTGCCCAGCATGCCCTCAGAGGAGGGCTGGTGGCAACAGGCCTTGCTGACGGTGGCCCCCCTGGCCAGCGGGCCATCTGACCGGTCCCTTGCAGCTAAAGGCCTTGCTGGGCTACCCAGCTGTGACTCACTCAGGCCCTGCAGACAAAGCCCCTGCCTGTGAGTTACCTGCTATGGAGACCCGAGTCAAGAGATGTGCTCCCCAGCCACTGCTGAGGGGCGTGGGATACCGTGGGCTCAGGCAGTCCAGCCTGGCATGAGACTGACTCCATCCCAGAGTGAGGAGGGGCTGCCAGCAGTCCTGGCCTGGTCTGGCGGGGGGACGGTCTGTGGCGTGAGTTGGGGGAGGGTACAAGCTAAGCGGAGACCCATGGGTACCCAGCTCCCAGGCCCGTGGGTACCCAGCTCCCAGGCAGGAACCTGTGAAGGAGCCCCCAGGGCCTAGGCATTTCTGGAATTACCTGTAAAGTTGCTAACTTTTGTTTGTTTGTTTATTTATTTATTTATTTATTGAGACGGAGTCTTTCTCTGTCACCCAGGCTGGAATGCAGTGGTGCCATCTCACTGCAACCTTTGCCTCCCAGGTTTGAGCAGTTCTCCAACTCAGCCTACTGAGTAGTTGGATTATAGGTACGCGCCACCACGCCCGGCGAATTTTTTGTATTTTTTAGTAGAGATGAGGTTTCACCATCTCTATTCTTGGCCTGGCTGGTCTTGAACTCCTGACCTTGTGGTGCGCCCGGCTCAGTCTCCCAAAGTGCTGGGATTACATCTAACTTTTAAAATCATGGGATAAGGCTGGGCACAGTGGCTCATGCCTGTAATCCCAGCACTTTGGGAGGCTGAGGCAGGTGGATCACCTGAGGTCAGGAGTTTGAGACCAGCCGGGCCAACTGGCAAAACCTCGTCTCTTCTAAAAATACAAAAATTAGCCAGGTGTGGTGGCAGGCACCTGTAGTCTCAGCTACTTGGGAGGCTGAGGCAGGAGAATCACTTGAACCTGGGAGGCGGAGGCTGCAGTGAGCTGAGATCACGCCGCTGCACTCTAGCCTGCGTGACAGAGCAAGACTCCATCTCAAAAAAAATAAGGGATAAAAATACTGGCAAGTGTAGTACAGATGACAAGGTGCATCACAACAGGCCCTGTGTGACCTAGCAGGCGCCAGCCCGAAGCCACGCCCGCGTCCTGAGCTGCTCTCCTCCCTCCCACCAAGGGCACGTCCATTCTTCCGAGTGCCCCTGCTGTGCGCGCTCATTCCGCACCTCAGCGTGGTTCCTGGTGCCCACATGCTCGATTTGCCACACGCTGACTTTAAGCCTACAGGTGGGATCTCAGCCGTGGGTTTGAGGGGTGCCGTGTCGCCATGGGTGACAGGAGGTGGTTTTCGTTTCTGCGTGGTACCCTGTCATGGAACTGTAACCTTGTATCAGTGTCTGTCCACGATGGCTGGGGTTCGAGTCTCAGTCACCTGAGCTGCTGGGAACAGGCTTCACAGAGGCGTGCACCAACAGGGATGGCCGGGCCTCGGGAGGAATGTGTGGACTTGGTGTCTTCCTGAGGGTCTCTGCAGCTTACACTGGGAGTGTGCCCTTTTTCCAAGCAAGACTGTGCCCTCAGAAGGGTCGGGCCACCCACCCCTGCCCCGCTGCGTCTAGGGACCTGCCTCAACCCCCTGAAGCTGAACTCCCAGATAGTCAAGACCCCCAGGCCCAGCAGGCGAGTCACAGAGGTTGGTCAGCTGGCACTGTCGCCCAGGAGGCCCACACACAGTGGGCGGCTGCAGGTGGTTCCTCGGGCCCAGAGGGCGGGCCTTCCTCCTCAGGGTGGAGCCAGCATCTCTTCCCTTCTGGGAGCTGTCCAGGAGAACCCTGTCTGGGTGCAGGGTGGTTCTGTCCGGCCACAGCTGTGGCTTTTGCCACTTTCTGGAGCCAAGAAGGGCAGCTCTGGAGGCGTGAACTGGGTCACTGCCTGCTTACCAGGCACAGCCCAGGATCACCGGACAGGAGTAGGGCTGGCAGAGGGTGGGAGCCTGGATCCTATTAAGTAAAGCACCTTAGCACCCTGGGGGCGGGGCGGCCTTCTACGTGCCCAGACGCCCGAGCCAGGCTGCCTGGGACACCTGGCTCTGGCCCGCTGTACGTGCATGCAGGGTGGGGGCCTGGCCTGCCGGGGTGGTACTGTCCCGGGTCCCTTAGGCAGGCTGCCCAGAGACAGAGGAGTGTGGATTTTGCTGCCTTTTTAAAGGTGTTCTGTGCGTCGGCTGCACATGTGAGGATTAACCATCCCCCCTTTCAGGGACAGCCCGTGGAATGGTCAGCAGCCCTTTTATTTCCTTCCTTTAAATAGGCGACAAGGTGGCACTCACCACCTGGGGTAGGGGTGACAGTTCAGGGAGCCGGGTGTTTGGTTTGGGTGTGGGCTGGGTGGCCACGGCTGTGTGTATCATGATGGGACGAACCCCTGGGCTGTCCTTTGAGAGGCGAGCTGCTCTGCCTTGGGTGGCTGGTCCCCTCCCCAGAGCCCAGGGGGGCAACCATGACCCTTTCTGGTGTCTAACTGGGTGGCTTGGTGCTGGGAGCCTGCCTGGTCCCCGCTCCCCACGGTAGCTTGTGAAAACCAAATTTAGCTGCAAGGCAGAGGTGGAACCCGATGCCCTTTGTGGGTTCTGGGTAGGCCCAGGCTGGGCAGGGGAGGTCAGCGGTGGCTGGTGAGGCTGTGCTCTCACCTCACCCCCTTCAGGAGCCCCAGAGAGAGTCACTGCTGCCCGTGGGTAAGGTGGGCAGGCCCAGCTGGGGGCCCCCATGGGTGGGGGGTTGTGGCATCAGGCCTGGGCCTGCAGCTGCTCTGGAGAAGGTCCCCAGCCCTGGTGGGGTGGGGTGTGGATCGGGGCTTGTTTGTCCTCACTCCTCATCCCTGACTCTGCCAGTGCTGGGAGGCGGCAGGGCTGGGCCCTTCCAGGACACGAGGGTTACTGGCTTCCTATTGGCATGGGCAGAGAGTGAGGACGGGACTCCAGCCCACCTGCTTGGGCTGCCCTGCCAGTTCCCAGCCTGGGCACGTCTCCCAGCCTCTGGGGCCTCAGTGTGCTCGTCTGGAAAGTGGGCTGCTGACGGCCTGTTGCCTGGGCTCGTGCAGGGTTGGTGGAGTTCCAGTTCACAGGAGGCCCTTGGAGGTGCGGGGAAGGGCCCTGGTGTGCCCCTGACGCCCACCTCAGGGAGCTGGATGCCCACAGCCCTGAGGGCCTATCAAGCTGTCATTGTCCCAGGGCAGTTGGGGCGAATGTCTGTGGTGAGGTGGATGCCCCCAGGCAGTCTCTGCGGCCCGACCCCCGCTGGCCCTGAGTCTCCTGCTGGGGAGGACCTTTTGGGAGGGAGGCTGAGCATGGGCCAGGCCATGGTTTCTGCAAGGGACCATCTGAAGTGCAGTGAGGAGGCTGGAGGTCCACGGGCCCCACAGCCCCCCACCCACTCCCTTCTGGGAGTCGGTGCCCCAAGATTTGGGGGATGGAGGAGGCGGCCGGCACAGTGGGAAGGGTAGAAGGGTCTCAGAAGGTGTGATATGGGGGTGACATCTGTGACACTGGGGCAAGGCCAGGGGTCTAAATGCGTCAGTAGCAAGGTGGGTCCCAACACCCATGAGGCCAGTGTGGCTGGAGGGATGGCAGGGCCAGCTGCCCTGGGTAGGGGTGTTGGGGACTCTTGCTGGAGTATAGGCAGCAGATGGGGTGGGGAAGAGCCTCCTTGCCAGGGTCCCGTGGGCCCAGGCCAGTCACTGGCGCCACAGGGATCTCCCTGGTGGGCCTTTGCCTTGCCTTTTTTTGAGAAATCGTCACGTCACTGGAGTGCAGTGGTGTGATCTCCCAGTTCACTGCAGCTGTGGCCTCCTGGGCCTAAGCCATCTTCCCACCTCAGCCCGGAGTAGCTGGGACTGCAGGCCTACAGTGTCACACCTGGATAATTTTTGTATTTTTTTGTAGAGTTGGGGCTTTGCTGTGTTGCCCAGGCTGGTCTCAAACTCCTGGGCTCAGGTGATCCTCCTGCCCTGGCCTCCTGACATGCTGGGATTGCAGGCATGAGCCATGGTACTGGCCCGGCCTTTGCCATTCTAGGGCTGAGGGGTGGCTGCCTTAGGGTTTGGGGGTGGGAGGAGGCTGCAGGGCTTCAGTCAGCACCCCCTGCCCAGAGGGAGCCCCTGCCCCACACAGCCTGGTCCTGGGTGAGTGGCTGGGGGATGGGAGGCCGGGCCCCGCTCTGCACACTGGGTGTTCCCCCGGCAGGGTGCCTCTGTCTTTGACACA